CAATATCTTTTCTTATATTTTGCTAATCTTTGTGTGTATCTAAAGGTTGTTTAGATAGGTTTCTCTCAACTTATCTTTCCACAAACAATCTTGTAAAATCTGTATTGATCTTCTTTATCAATATATATTTTAAATTTGAAAATTGTGTTTGTATTCATCCTCCCCCCCCTTCTACAAACTGTTTAGTATTCTTGTAGACCCTTTTGGGACCAACAGAAACCATATTGGGTTTGTCCTTTCATTCCCCGAGCCATGCTCACCCATATTGTAGAGCATCTCGAATTGTGGTTCTGAAGTTCTTTAAAGCACCATGTCTTGCCATTAAGTTGGAAGAGTTCATTATTTTTGGACATTAAAGTTGTTAGAAGGGTATGTGCTTTGTGTTCATTATATGTTCAGGCTATACAAACATGTGTATTCTTGAAACACAAAAGCACATGTGTTGGATCTTTTAATGAAGTTGGCCATGAACAAATTGATACATAATCTTAGAAGAGTTATATGTTGTTTGGACATTAAAGTTGTTAGAAGACTCTAAGGTAAGTGTTGTGTTCCACTTAATGTTCAAGTTATACTCGCATACATACACACACATATACGCATGTGTATACTAACATACTATGGGTGCGTTTGGTGTTCAAACAAGACAGAACATATGTTCAACATTAGGTAAGACAGAATCACACAAAATAGAACAAGTAAAATGACCAATTTACCCCTAATGAGTTGTCCTAGCCTATTATGGGGTACGGATGGAACATGCCTGTTCCATGGGGGTGGGGTGAAACATTTGTCGTATAAGTTGACTTTTAGTAATCTTTAGATTAGTGTTTACATTTTACATTGTTATCTATACTTTTTAATATATTTTATAAATGTTTTTATTCAATAAAGAAAGGAGAAATTATATTAAACACACAACATTTAATAAATATTAAAACAATAAAATAGACAGTAATAAAATTACATTTATCGACATTTTCTTCTTCTCAAAATCTTTGCCAAATCTCGTCAACTAAATCTGGTCATAAACAATGATTCTTTGACTTATTACGTAGTTGTATGTGATTTTGGAGATAGTTTCCGTACTCAGGAAGTATGTTACGAGAGATTTAAGGCATAGTTATATTAAAATTAAATAATCGTCTATATCATCAAATTGACGAAGATAGACATGACGTTCGTCTTCGATGATCATGTTACACATGATTGTACATGTTCTCATTATTTCTCTAATTATCTCTTTGCAGTTTGCACCATGTACGAAATTACCCACAAATAATAGCGAAAGATGATCTGAGTACCCTAAACGCTCTCTACATCTTTTCTAGCAGCCGCTTGCTTCTTCGCAAATAGTCAACATTTTGGTGGTTGGGGTAATGGAATTGACTTGCTTCTTTCCTAACAGTCGATATTGTTTAAGGTACCTAGAAGACCAGAAAATGCATGCCATATCCACAGATCCTGTGAAGCGACAACTTATAAAATAATACGTTAAGTTTATATTTTTATTATGAAAATTATTTTATTTTATTGTAACATAAACTGTATTTTGCATTATTCATACATTTTTTATAAACACACGTCATAAAACATAAAAAAAACATGATGTGACAAAACAATTTCTTATTAAGAAAGTATACCCTACAGTTTCTAATACTATTCACTGTCACATCAGTAAAAAGTACTGATTTGACATTAACAATTACCAAAAACAAATTTTTCTATTAGAAAATCATACTCATAACAAACACACAGATTCTTAAATAGGAATCCTACCTGACAAATTAGAAAACCATTAGATATCCTTTAGAAATCACTGTAAGTAGCGAACTTCTGAGTTTTAATGTTCTATCTTTTTATTGGATAATATGAATCAAAATACAACAAAATTTTGTTTTATTACTGTACAGTATAGCAAATATTTTTCCCCCCGATCAATGTAACAATTTGAAAATTTTATATTTTGTCTCCACTTATCTCTGATAACCTATTGATCTTATAACATTTGATACGGTGAATATTTTTTTATAAAATATTTTACGATAAAGTTACAGAGAAGTGGACAATAAAACTTGACATTTATGTTATCAGATATAAAATAAACAGACATCAAAATAAATAAAAAATAAAGAAAATTTTGAAAATTAAATTGGAAAATTTAAGATTTTTGCGTAGTCAATTTGATTAACTTTACTTCTACACATATACCCACAAATATATATTCTTTTATATAAATACGAAAATGATCCTCGCATAATGTAGCGAAATTAAATCTCGATTTTAATGTTTAATTTTTATTTTTGTCTTTATCGATATATATGATTTTATATGGTTTTGATAAAGTGATAATTTTTTATTTTTGAATGAAATATAAATTTGAAAATAGCATAAAAATTTAAAAAAATAAATAAATCGATATTAGTATCAAATTAATTATTTAATAGTTCTCGTTTTTTTTTTGTGTAACTTTTTTAATTCAATTTTTTTATTATAAGAAATTTAGATCTAATAACAAAGTAATTTATTTTTGGTTTAATAATATAATTTTTTTATAAAGATAATAATTAAACATTCTGTTAAAATTCAATGATTATCTTAATTATATTTTAGATATTTTATATTTAAAATGGATGTTTATCCTGCATTTTATTATGTTTATCTGCAGTTAGTTACACGAATTTAAAATGAAACTTTAATAAGTTATAATTACTCACAATTTACTTGTAATATTGAATTTTAAGTAATATGCATCAATAAACAGTATTTCATATATAAAAAATTATTTTTAAGAGTTCTCGTCAAATGTTTTATAATATAGTATTGATAAATATAACAGACTAATTTATATATCTATTAAAATCAAATAACAATAAATTATATAATATAATATTGTCTATTTCAACAACAAATAAAAAGAATGTATAATATTTTGGTGCTCGATTTCGATCCCCGATATCCATAATTTCGTATCGATAGACGAGCACCTAAATATAAATACATGAATTTATATCTATCTTAATAATTAATTTTATTGCTATTTAAAAAATAATTGGAAGTGTACTTGCATACTGCAACAAGATATATCTAAGTATTAGTGTTTCGTTTTATTCCGTCTCTCAAGTTTTAATACGGTTTTTTTGTGCTTTTGAGAAAGAGATAGAGAAAAGTCTAAAAAAACCTAATGGACTTTAGTGTTTAGAATGATTAAGTTCTTGAACAATTTTTTGGAACAAATAATTCATTGGACATTTCAAAACATGTTCAATAACTTCTTAGACAATTTAAAACATGTTAAATAACTCATTGGATAATTTTTGGAACAAATAAGTCATTGGACAATCCAAAACATGTTAAATAACTCCTTAGACTTTTCTAAAACCTGTTGAATACATTCTTATGACTTGTACAACTAGTTAAAGTGATAAAATAGTGAAAAAAAGTCCGAAAAAACCCACAATGAAAATTCATATTTTGAACGATTAAATCCCTAAATATTTTTTTGAACCAAAAAATATTTAGATCTATAAAATTAAACAAATATAACAAAAAACACTTATATTTACAAAAAAATAATTACATTTAAAAAAGATTTTTGATAAAATTTATTTTAATTAAAATTAAAATATATTTTGTCAGTGATTTTTCAAACAAAATAAAAAAATTTAAAAAAAATTATTATTAAATTTATTTTAATTAAAAATAAAATATATCATGTATATGATTTTTCTAAATTAAAAAAAAAAAGAGATAAAAAATTAATTACTTATTAAATTTATTTTAATTAAAAATAATATA